GAGTTGATCTCTTAGCCTGCAACCTAAACTGCTCCGGAGGAGGTTAGCCGCTCAGCATAAGTTACTATGGAGATCTACTGTAGCCCGCTAAAAAGAGAACCAGCGTCGTAGGATGTGATATGTTTCTGTTTTGGTTTGTATTTTCACTTCTTTTTTATTTCCTATTTATTTTTCATTTTTACGGGGGCAGATTTGAGGCTGGGTTCGGGTGGGGAGCAGTGCCACTGCGGTTATATCACTGGAGGGAGATGTGGAGATTGCATCAAAAGACACAATCTAGGGGACCCTTTTTTGCCTTATGGCTGTGACAACAGATAAAATAAGTGGTGATATAGGGAAAGGAGAGGATTTAACTTTTTGCACATGGAAAGTGAACGCGATCAATGAACCAGTAAAACGGGGTAATATTTTCATTTAATCGTTTATTTGAATAGGGACAATGCACATTAATGAACACTTAAGACAAATAATGCTTCAAGTGTAAATATGCCGGCTTTGAGCTCATTTCCATCCGTAGTCCCTGACATACAACATATAAGAACATGACATTTGACAAAAAATAAATACAGCTCTCTCTCTCTCTGCTCCGGATCATCTGATTGCTGCACGGTGCAGCTCAGCGTCTCTCTCTCTCCCTCTCTCTTTCTACACACAGTGGACCCGCTGCCCGTTTAACAGCATAATCTTTGTCAAACTTTCTTATGTTCTTTCTCTAACACGTAATGAAGGTTATTAAGTGTTTTAGCTCCTACATTGTTAATATTGACGCCATTTCCTTTATGAAGTAAAGCAGCCTCCCTGTCTGTGTCCTCGCGCTGTCCTCACATCCCCCGACCCCCAGACTCGGAGGAGCACAGGGATGTCAGTATTGTTTATGAAGCAGGGTATAGAAAATACATTATTGAAATGAAAATACTATTTATTTACTTTTACAAACAGTGAGCAGCTGGGCAGCTGCAGCATGTGTATTGCAGGACATGTGTAAACATGCAAGCGTCTTTGAGTTGTAGAAAAGCGCTAGGCCTATAGGCTATAAATATAATGTATTGTAGTGATCACTAATTTACTCATGTACATAATTCACTCATGGAACTACAGGTGGGGGGGTATTGTTTCCGCACGGACATATGTGTTGCCGATTGTATTTATTGTGTGGACTCCTGGCTTCTTCCTCTTCTCTTCCCAGGCTGCGACCCGACAACATCATGTCTATTTCTGTTGCTCATTAAAGTAACCATTTGCACCTTCGATGCACCGCCTCCGACTCCTATCTCTCGGCACTACAGTATTATTATTATTATTATTATTATTATTAGGCCTATGTGTTGGACATGTGTGGTTGGACTCTGTCTCACAGGCAGGTTGCAGTGTAACATCAGAGGAGACTGGGCCAATTGTACATTCTAAAACTGCACCACATAGAACTAACTAAACAATGCAGAGATTATTTTTATATAATTGTATTCAATAACCGTAAGAAATTAAACAGTATGAAGTGATTTGTAAATAGGAATACAGATTTGACTTAAAGTTTTCATAAATATATTTTTCTCCCAGTTTGTCATGGGACTTATTTTTACCCTCTCAAAGAACCGGAATCGAGAACCGAAAATAACCGGAATCGAAAAGCAGAACCGGAATCGTTCAAATCCAAACTATACCCAACCCTATGTGTGGTGCAGTAAAATCTTACCGCTCACTTACGTTAGCGGTGTCGTAAAAAACGTGGGAAAATGTAAAATACGTTGGCGAAGAAGAAGATTCCAGTGGCCCCAATTTTTGTCCATTCTGGGCAAGTGAACAATGTATTCGGACAAGTAAATTGCCAAACTCACTTGTCCATGGACAAGTACTCTCTAAAAACGTTTTCTCACACTGCATAAAGACATAATATTCCTGTAATTGTTCAACTCAAAATTCCTGGGTAACTGGACTGACCACTGTAACTATTGGAATTTGACTATTAACACATGTAAAAGGATGACTCGGAATCAGCTGGTGAAAGTAACATTTGTTTATTAGAAAAGGGGAGCTGGGAGTGGAGGTTGGTTATGGCAGCAGTGGGAAACAGTTGTTCCAGGGTGGAGAGGCCTGGCTGGTCTTGGGAGTGTGGAAGGCCTTGTATTCCTCCTGGGAGAGACACAAAAATGAGTGTGAGGCAAAAGCAGGCAAAGTTGTCAAAGAATAAATATGCTTGCAAAAAGCTAGAGCGGCACGCAACAAACCATTCACGGCAACAATCCGGCAGGGAATGAGTGCAGGCTGCAGGCTTTCATAGTGTGGCTGATGAGCAGGTTGCAGGTGTGGTTGATTGGAGATTGCTCCCAGCCGTGTAGAGCAGACCAGCAGGCAGTGGGGGGGGGGAGACACACAGTAGAAACAAACACATACAAACACTAACAGGGGTTTAAGGGACGGGCAGTGATAGTCGGTCCGTTCTTCTATGTCTGTCTTTGGTTTTCTAAGTGTTATTCGATCCATATGACAATAGAGATATGTGCATAAACAACAAAAACATTTGGGGTATAATGTTCGAACAATGTTATCACCAAACATTTTAAGAATGTTTTTAGAGAACGTTGTCCTACCTTTCAGAAGTACATTCTAGGAACCAAAATAAAACTTCTCGATGAAACCATCCCTAGAACAATGAATGGTAACATTCTCAGAATGTTTTTAGAACCAACAATGTCTAGCTGGGAACTCAGACATGCCTACGCAAACATGCAATATCATGAATTACATGCTTTTTTTAAAAGGAAAATGTGGTGACATCAGATTTTTTTTAAACATCCTTTTCAAACAAATGCAACAAGTTTGTATTTTAAAGCGCACTACAAATAAATCTGACGTTGACCATGACTGTGTTAATATTTCGCATCACAGGAATGTTTTATAAAAAAAGAATAACATCCTGAAAACATTATCCAAATGTTGCTTTCAAAATGTTCTTCTTTGGTTATCATGTAACATTGAGGGAATGTTTTATAAAGAACATCTTTAATGTGTTACCCAACAACGTCCAAAACACATCCTTAGAATGTTGCAGGCAAAACGTTCCACCTTTGTTAACATATCACATTAAAGGAACATTTTATAAAAAAACTTTCTGTCATCTCAGGCCTCAATAACATCCTCAAAACATCCTCTGAATGTTGCAGTTAAAACGTTATGTCTTAGTTAACCTTAAACCTTATAGGAACATTACTTGAAAAAATAAAAATCCTAAAAAGGTTCTTTGAACATCAGATGAAAACGTTTCTTTAAAACCTTATTAGAACCTGTAGGTAATGCAATAACGATTTTTATCCAATATGCATAAACAGCGGACACTGTTTATACGCAGCCCTCACAAACCACACACGGCCAGATAGCTTATCTAACAGTTAGAACCTACATACGATACACAACCTTTATAGTCAGAAAAAAGTGTGATTATTTTCGGATATTTTACACATATGATATTATGAATACTGTGGGCCTACATACCTTAGTGTGATTATAAGTGCATGTGAGTGAATATTGGCATGCATAAATTCGTTTTTATACGTCCTATTCATTGTCTCAATGCGCTCATACATCTTAAGAAAGTTATCACCAAAAATGTTAAGAATGTTTTTAGAGAACGTTATCCTACCTTTCAGAAGAACATTCTGGGAACCAAAATAAAACGTCCCGTTGAAAACGTTTTAAGAACAGTAGGGCATAATGTTCTAACAATGTTATCAAAAACATCTTAAGAAGGTTATCAGAAACATTTTAAGAAGGTTATCACCAAACATTTCAAGAATGTTTTTAAAGAACGTTATCCTACCTTTCAGAAGAACATTCTGGGAACCAAAATAAAACGTCTCGCTGAAAACATTCCTAGAACAACGAATTGTAACAAACATTTCTAGCTGGGAACTCACACATGCCACTGCAAACATGCAATATCTGCTTACAGCTTATCATGAATTACGTGCTTGTTTGTTTTTTTCAAAAGGAAAATATGGTGACATCAGATTTTTTTTATAACATTATTTTCAAACAAATGCAACAAGTTTGTTTTTTAAAGCGCTCTAGAAATAAATCTGACCATGACCGTGTTAATATTTGCCATAACAGGAACATTTTATAAAAAAAAGAATAACATCCTGAAAACATTTCACATTTTATAAAACACTTTCTGTCATCTCAGGCCTCAATAAAATCCTGAAAACATTTTCAGAATGTTGCTTGGAGAATGTTCTTCATTTGTTATCATGTAACATTAAAGGAACATTTTATAAAACACTTTCTGTCATCTCAGGCCTCAATAACATCCTGAAAACATTTTCTGAATGTTGCTTTGAGAATGTTCTTCTTTTGTTATCATGTAACATTGAGGGAACGTTTTATAAAGAACATCTTTAATGTGTTACCCAACAACGTCCAAAACACATCCTTAGAATGTTGCAGGCAAAACGTTCCACCTTTGTTAACATATCACATTAAAGGAACATTTTATAAAAACACTTTCTGTCATCTCAGGCCTCAATAACATCCTCAAAACATCCTCTGAATGTTGCAGTTAAAACGTTATGTCTTAGTTAACCTTAAACCTTATAGGAACATTATTTGAAAAAATAAACATCCTAAAAAGGTTCTTTGAACATCAGATGAAAACGTTTCTTTAAAACCTTATTAGAACCAATAGGTAACGTTAGCCAAAGTTGTGAGAACGTTCCCCGCTAGCTGGGATGCCTGTTAACAAACACAATATTCCTGTACAAGAAGATCTTGAAAAATGGCCTTACTTAAAGGATATCAAAATTCATAAAATTGACTCTGGTATTGACCTACTCATCGGGACAAATTCTCCTAAGGTATTGGAACCTTGGGAGCTGGTCAATAGCCAAGGAGAAGGACCGTATGCTATGAAGACCCTACTGGGGTGGGTCTTCTATGGTCCCCTAAGAGGAAGCAACGACAGCAGAGATTCTAACAGCAGCACCCACACGTGTTTTCAAACAGACAAAATGCCGAAGCCTCAGAAAGGAAAAGGAAAGGCTCCGGAGAAGGTTTGTCACCCGTACAGCCGGAAAGCTACTTACCTGGCACAAAAAGAAATCAGACTGAAAAAGGAAGAGAGACAGAATAAGGACAAAGCAACACGTCTGAGCTGCATCAGTGAGAAGCTGTTGTGGTTTCAGGAACATTTGGATCCAGAAAAGACGGCGTTCACCAAAAAGGATGCCTGTGACGTCGTTGATAGGTTTGAACCTGAACTTGAGCAGATTGAGCTGATGAACGGCATCAAAGGTCGACAGGGTCGTCTCCATGGCGTCAGGGAAGCTGTCGTCAAACAGACCATGGAGCGAGAGCGGAAGCAGTATGAGGTCGGGTTTGAGATCCCAAACATCATAAATGCAAAAAATCTGAAAACATTCACGGAGTGGACTAGTGACCTGAAGAAACCTCCGAATAACCAATAACAAAGATATGTCTACGCCAGGAAGCTGAGACATAAGTACCACAAAGACTGGTTACCCTTAAAATAAGGGAGAAGAGAATAAACTGAAAATTCTTTAAGAATTACTTACCAACACATAGAACACACAATTTTTATTTTATATAGCTCCATTATTATTTATTTATTGGTAATTGTTTTTTGTTTGTTTCATACTAAAGCCAATTAGGGGCCGGTGTGTAGGAGCCATTTTATGGGTGTTGTTGGTGTCTCAGTTTACATTATTTATATGTATAGTGCAATATTATTTTGAACACTTGGTGGCGGTGTTTAGCTGCACTGTAATGGCAAAGGATATAGGACATTGGAAGAATAAAATTGCCATTACAGACAGTTTATTGAGTGTTTGTTTTGTTGCTTTATGTATTCAGTGTGTTATTACCTGTTTACATTAAAACACTTTATTTTGATACTTTCTTTGTCTCTGCATTGTGCATTTGATTCCACGCCTTTGTACAGCCTTAACAGAATGTGCCCAGTTTCAAAGCTTGGATTACGGCATTGACTGATACTCTGCGTTTAGAAAGAATTCGATATATCCTAAAAGATAGACTGGGGGAATTCGAAAGGATGTGGGGTCCAATGGTTTCATTTATAAGGAGGACGGTCGACTGAAATGCATTGCACAAACAATCGTTTTGTAATGGCTTGGGTGGCACTGCTTGGGGAGGGAAGGGTGGGAGGATAATCTGGGCTCATCTGCACCCTTTAAGTTTATTTATTTATTTGTATTATATACATACTATTTTGTATGTTCTTTCCCGCTATGATTAGGTATGCTATTCCTGTCATGCTATGTTTTTTCTTTATTATTTCTTGTTGGCTGTTATGTATGTCTTCTATGTTGAAAAAAGGGAAGCATGATTTCCACCCCAAAGCAGTCTGTACTATTGCTTCTTCTCAATAAAAAATATTTGAATAATAATAAGAAATGTCCTTCAAACTATTATGTCAGTTTGAGATTATAATGAAGGTTTCTCTCAAAACATGCACACTTACAAATTACTGGGTTACTATTATTTTTGTGACGAAAGAACACAATAAACAGATCTGTGGAGTTGTGCAATTCAATCAGAAAACAATTACTTACAATTATTTTGACATCACATGAATGCACAGGATGTAAGCTTAATGTTACATAGCCTACCTATGCACTAGTGGGATGTAGACTCATTTTAATGCATTAATGAATAATATGAGACGGGACTCTGCTTGTAGTTTTTTCCCAAGGATGAAGATATTTTTGACAGCCTGTAAGTGGTGGTTTAAAAAAATCACTAAAAGGCTTTCCGGAAATACTTTGTTTTAGCACCTAGGGAGAAGTGAATCCATAATATGTGATTTTTAAAAAGGTTAAGTGGGTGACTCAATATCACAGTAGGAGACACTTAGAATGCTGCTGAACATTTATTTAATACTTGGGTTAAGGGTTGGACAGATCCCCGATTAGTGAGATTATTACACAAAGTGGTATTGACAAGTTGCACTAGAATATCTAGTATTATCTAGTAATATGCTATTTTTGTATATATATTTGTGCAGATCAAGCCCCTCCAAATGTTCGCATTCTTTTAAAAAATCACTTTGTTTACTATGACTATTGTAAAGCTTCCTTGGGTTTCATGAAAGGCGATATATAAATCCAAGTTATTATTATTATTAAATGATAACTTTATTCATTGTAATTCATTTATATAATAGTAGCTCATATGTGTATCAGGAAGATTTCTGCTCATGATCAAATATTCCTGCACATTCAAAAACATTGTGTTCTCTGAGAAGTCAAGGATAAGAAAAAAGGGTAACACTTTATATTAAGGTACACAAATTAACCATCAATAGTTGTTAATTAGCATGCATATTAGCAGTATATTGGCTCTTTATTAGTCATTATAAAAATCTTATTAATGCCTTATTAATGCCTTATTCTGCATGACCATATTCTACAAGTAATAAGCCATTAGTTGAGAGTTTTTCCTCAATAACCCTCTAATTAGTGCTGATTTGTTGCAAGTAAGGAAGTTGTTGTACATGTGTTTTGGTCTTAATATGCTCTGTGTCATGATCCTAGTGTTATGTCATGGTTTTAGTTTTGTCTGTCTTGTAATGGGTTTTATTTTTGCAATTCTGTTCTCCCTGTCTCTTGTCTTCCTTCCTGTGTTTTTCCTCCTGTGTCTGATTGTCTGATTGTGTTCACCTGTTGCCCTTGTGTTTCTGCCTCCCCTGCCCAGCTGTGTCTTGTCCTGTGATTACCCCTCTTTTTATTTAGTCTTGTCTTCCCCTGTGTACCTTGTCGGTTCATTATCTTTCCTGTCTCCCTCCATGTTGGTCACGGTCAGTTTTGGTGTTGTTGCTACCTTGTGCTACCTATTTTTATTTTTATTTTCATTATCTTTGCCTTTTATGCCTGTTTTTAAATGCCTTTTTTTAAATGTATTTATGCTGTATTTGTTTGCCTTGCCTAGCCTAGCCTAGCCTAGCCTAGCCTATGTGTTTCATGCCATGTTTTTGTTCATCAGCTTTTAAAATAAAGCTTGCTTTTTGTTTCTAGACCTTTTACCTTTTTTTGTAGTCTGCATTTGGGTCCTACCTTTTTTCACGCATTCTAACACTCTGCTCAATATGGGCCTAATAAGGCAGTAGTACCACAAGAATAGTAATTCTACCATAATAACACATATGGTCTATTCTTATTAGGGCGTTAACGCGTTAATAACGCGTTAACGCAAAAAAAAGTAACGTAATTATAAAAAAAAGTAATTATTTTAACGTGCGATTAACGCATGTGTATTTGTCCTCGGCCCGCTCCGTAGTTTCAGAGCCCAAAGGCTTGACGTTGTTGTTGTTAGTTGGATGGTGGGCAGGGGCGGATCTACGGGGGGGCAAGGGGGGACAGCTGCCCCCCTAACTTTTGTTTCCCTAAAACTGTACTAAAACAAACCTACATTATTTCCACAAGCTTCTCAAGCAACGAAACAAGCATTACATTAGTTAAAAGTGAATCATTTTAAATATCATTTTAGGCCCGTTAAAAACGCAGCTACGGCCCTGTATTAAACTGCGGAGCGGCGTTCACACAGACCGCGGCTCACAGAGCTGCAGAGAGACCGAGCTGTCCCAGCACCTAGGGTGGATCAGCTTCCCCTGGGAGCTTTCCCCTTCCACTAGTTTTGTTTTTACTAAGGACGAGAGCTTGAAACTAAATATTAATAAAACGCAGCCGTTTGAATCGATAGCGTTTAACAGACGGGCGCTGTTTGGGGCGTTACGTTACAAAATACTACACAGACAGCGCTAGCTGGGAGATCGATCACTTTGCTAAACTATGCGGTACTATTAAATCCACGTAAACTACACATCACAGCAATGAGGCCAGATCAATGAAACCAGGATACATCCTTTACCGTAAATCTGGATCTAAACACAGCTGCCTGTGTGCGTTTGATAAATACTTTCTGATGTTATATTTATGATATGCTACTTATTAGCTACATGGCCCTAACGTGTAAAGTTATACAAGCATTTGTACCAGTGCTTTTTAACACGCATTTTAAAAGTCTGCAGACTTGTCGAAGCATTAATTCATGGTTTTTACTAACCGGTATCAGTATGTTGCTACTTCGGCATCATTTTGAAACGTGTATTACAATTAAATCACGGTCAAATATGTTCATCTTGTTGTAGTTGTAGCCCCCTTGCCAGCGATTTTCTCTCTAGCTTAGCATACTCAGCCCTGTTTGTTGGCCCGGAAAGAACCTCGATTTTATGGGGCCAGAAAATCTGGAAATAGTACCCGCTAGCCGGTACTACGCTAAGTGGAAACGCAACCAAAAACGGGCCCCGAACGGCTCGGCACGCTTAAAGCGAGCTCCGCGCTGTAGTGGAAATGCGCCATAAGAGAGAGAGAGGTGGTTGTTGTATTGAGAATATTCAGGAGAATATTTGTCATTGTTCCAATGATAATAAACAAACATTTGCATAAAGCATATTTGTCCACTCATATGTTGATAAGAGTATTAAAATCTTGGAAAATATTCCTCTAAGGTGCATTTAGAACAGATAAAAAATGTGCGATTAATTTGCGATTAATCGCGATTAACTATGGACATCATGCGATTACATATTTTAATCGACTGACAGCCCTAATTCTTATGTAACAAGACATGAAACTATAAGTGTTAATTGTGTCTAAATAATTCAAAATTAGGTATTTATATCTAAGAATACGTTTTGGGGTAGGGCCTATTGACAGTTCAGCTACCAATAGCAAGGTGATATTGACCTGTATGTTTCATATTTGCAAATGTATATATTTGTAAAATGTGTAGGTTAGACAGGAAACCGGGTACAGGAAGTAGGAGAAAGTGAACTGAATAGCATGGCAGTAGATTACTACTAATTTTCCCTATGCAACCTGAAGAGTAAAAGGGTCAAGTCCGTCAGAAAGCAACGACTGTAAGTGTAAGTGTAAGCCTTACACTTACACTGTAAGGATTAGTAACATGTATTGTGTTTATGTGATGACATTGAGATGTTTAAACGGTTTAAACACAATGAGAAAATGCGTTAGCATTCGCGCTAGCGTTAGCATACACGGTAGCGTTAGCATACATGCTAGCGTTAGCCAAACTAGCCTGTACACATGCTTATTGCACAGCTAGCATTAGCTATATTTACCTTGTTTACACTTAGCGGTCCTATGTGTTAATCTGTGTATGTTACACTTGCATGTATGAGATCATTAAGTGCCTGTGCCTGTCGTTTCCAAATGCCAGAGCTAGAGATAGGTCCACTCTGCTGCAAATTTACATGCGCGCAGCCCCCACCTTTTCTCTTCACAACGTGTGTGTGTGGGGGCCTCCCCCTTCGATTCTCTTGGCTCTAACGGTCAGAAAGAGGTGCCAACCATCAAAATCGACCAAGGGGGGCCAGAGATATGGAAAAAAAAACATTTTCACCCAAATC